ATGGCAGTTTTGGTTTTTGTGGCTTTTTAGTAATTTCTACCAAAATAATTGAAAGAATGCTCAGAGGAATGTAATGGCAAGTTTTGTTAGCTTCAAAGACTGTGTCCCCAATACCAGAAAACAGGCTGAGGAAGTCAGAGGATACAGGCAGAGGAAGAACCCTGATCCTGTCATGTTGCAAATGAGTCCTTTCCCAGCAACTTTTGCAACATAGAACATTGCAAATGCCACTCCTGCTCCTCAAAACTGGAGCCCTGCACTTAATCAGGGACAGGCAATAGCTTTCCTGGGCTGTGCATGCACAGCTGGGGGCACTGAGAAGATGCTCAGGTCAAACAGGAAAGGATGGAGCAAACTGAGCTCTGTGCAGGAAGAGAATCAAGGAACCCACTGCTCAGGTTTGCATTTTGGATGTAAGTGGAGATCAGTCTTAGAAAACCAGGTGTATTTGTATACCCAAATATACCCAGGCATGTTTCCAAACTTTTCCACAGAGCAGTGTTTGCAGTTGTGCTACTCTGTCAGCAGCTCAGGGGTGCTGTTTGAACTGCTTTATCAAATGCAGTGCTTTAAACACACCAGCTATTATGAAGTTGCCTCCCTCCCCTTTCAGTCCAGTTAATATTTTACTTCTTCCAGCTCCCCAGAAGAATCACTGAAGAGCAATACTTGCAAATAAAACATACACTCTTTCATTTTGCAACACAAGTTTTTGCTAATGTCTTTGCTAATTATCTAGCCAGAGGACCTGTCTCGCCTTAGGGTAGAAGTGGAGGTGGCTCCACAGCCAATGCAGTGACCTTTGCATGGAACCACACTGAGAGCAGCAAATCTCCCCAGGGCTGAGCTGTGCAAACCCTGGAAGGTTCCTGGGCTGGGGGACTGCTCTGCTCCCCCAGGGGGCACTTGCTCTCAGATTAAGGTGAAGAGCCTTGAAGAACTCCTGGAAGGCTCCCCAGGGCAGTGGTCATATCCCCAAGCCTGCCAGAGCTCAAGGAGCATTTGGACAACACTCTCAGGCACAGGGTGGAATTCTTGGGGCTGCCCTGTGCAGAGTCAGGAGCTGGTCTTCAAAGACCCTTTTTGGTCCCTTCCAGCTAAGGATATTCTGTGATTCTGTGATTCTGTGATTCTATGATCATGATTTTCTTTGTCAGAGATCTCCATCACAGGCTTTATCTGGTGAAAATGCTGTCTTTCTTGATTGAGATAAATATATTCTTTATTATCATTCATCAGGGGATTTATAGTACCAGTGGCATTGTGTCACCTTGCACATTAACTCATGACCTTCTGGTTGTCCACCTGTTCTGGTAAATCACAGCTTTCTGCAGCAGCAGCAGCAGACTACTCTCTAATACACATCATTCTTTACACTACCCTTAAGATACATTGTAATTTAAGAAATGTAATGAAAATAATATGTGACATTTAATTTAAATATAATTTTATATTTAATATCAAAAAATACAAGATATGAGTTAAGAAGTTGCTTCTAATGTTGATTTCTCTATTCTCACCAGCATCAGCAGTGTAAAAACTTGGCAGCAGTTGAATTCAAACTGCACCATTTGTGATAGTCGATAGTGTTATTTCAAAACCAGAAAGTACCTAGAAAATACAACTGACTCTTCAGCAGTTTTTTTCTGCTGTATCATTTCCACTGCAGTTGGCAAATAACAAAAAAACCCAAGCATGCTGTTCATGTCCTGACAGAAATAAGTTTTCCTTTGCCCTGTGCAACTGAGAACCTTTAAACCCAAATCTGTACTGTAATGTACATTTGAGAAGTTTCTAGAAACTTTTAAAGGGTTATCAAAAGTATTTCTCACTTTATGCAACAGCAAGTATTGATATCAATGACTGCCAACTTTATATTAATAGAAACATGTGAAGCTTAGTCATCATGTCCTTACAAATACAACCGCTGGCAACATAAAAACAATTAAAAGTTTCTTGTTGGAAGAAGAACAGCGACTAATCCGAATAAACATGCCTGTGATGACACATGACCTCTCTCAGTCAAACAGGCAAGATTTGGGCAATGAGAGACAGAATGGGTAGAACCTCAAACTGAGTTTTATCAATATATCACTTCACATTTCAGTACATATTTCAATGTATTTTCAGTATATATATTTCAATGTATATTGACAGGCAGGTTTAGAAGTCTCATATATGAAACAGTTGTGAAAAAATAATTTTCCAAAGATGGTGAAATTTGTCATTAATTATTATTACACAAGGACATTTACCCAAAACTGGTTTTACACAAAATATCTGTTACTCCTTGTTTTTTGAGATCAGTGTCTGGAAGTTTTCTTCTCATTCTGCTGTATCATTTCAGTTTTTTAAATCACATTGTGCCACCAATGAAACTGCTAAGTGGTGTTAAAATAGCACAGATCAGAATGATGGAGAAAACACTTCTCTGACATTTCCTGATATGCAACAGAACAGGGTATGTTTTGAATCGATTTTTAAAGGCTTGTTCACTCAGATTCCAGTGGGACTACTCGTCTACTCATGTACATGTCTTAGTCTTAGCAGAAGAGGGACTCAGCCCATGCAATATTCCATTTTACTCTCTCTTTGGAGTATTTGCAGCTCACAACCCTAGAGTTGTAAAATTTTGTATAAACATTCTTCACATAGGCTGTAAGTGCCAGTCCCAAAGCCTACAACTACATACCCAGCTGCAGTGGCAGCTGATTTGCTTCTGTCACATTTGTTATTTTGCTTCAGAAATGCTGTTAAAAATGCCCCTGTACTGCTCACCCTCACCCACACCTCATGATCTGTTAATAACACAGGAGCCACTCCTGTGTATTTACATGCAATTTCTGTATGTATTTATTAAGTTCATGCTCAGAGAAAAACATCCAATTTTGATTCATCTAAGGCATGTGAGGGAGCACTCAGAGCTGAAGGCTTATCAGGTCCAAACCTTACTTTGTTTTGCCATAGCTGCAAGCAGAGATGTAAACAAGTTGACCCTAACTTGCAAAACTCCACCTGAACTCCAGAATCCCAAATTCTCCAAGTCGTTCTGAGGTGGAGGGACATGAGGAGAAGTAGGTAATATGCACAGGTAGGACACACATGGGGAACATCACTGCCCCAGGGCATTTTGAGGGGTTAGTCAGCAGCAGACTGCTCTGCCAGGCACTTCTCTGGATGCCCCAAGAACAGAGCAGCAGTGTGCTTGGCATAAGCAGGTAGAGAAGACTGTTCTGCAGGTCTCATAAATGGTCACAAAATAAATCCTCTTAAAAAGGCTGTAAGGGTCTTGCCCTCCTGGGGAATACAGCCACCCACAGACAACAGTCTTACACAAAGCCTTACTACAGCCAGCTACTTAGTGGGACAGTCCTTGAGTCAATACAGCTGGAATTTGCTAGACAGATAAAAGAGGAGGATTTTGTACTGGAGAAAAGAATCACAGTGGCACAAGAAATACTAAGAGAAAATTAATCTTCTAAGCAAAACAACAGTCAGGAATCACCTTACAGGAAACTCAGGTTTGTAGGTCTCTTTATCAGGAAGTGGGCAAAGAAGGACCCACAAAAATTAGATTCTCTCCCAGCCTTTTGGTGAGGCAACCCTTCACTTCCTCTGCCTTCCCTTCTTTTTCTCAACCTTCCAAATTCTTGCTGAGAGGTAAAGCAGCCAAACTAAGCTGGTCTCTCCTGGGGACTGAAAACCCTATGTGAGCTTTGCAAACAAGAGATAGGGGCCAGTTTCAGGAAAGATAGAGAACTTGCAAAGAAACTATCACCACTATACTCACAGACTGCTTTTCACCACTGCACTCAAGCCTAGCATACGTTTGACCATTTTAGCTATCAAACCAGCCCCAAGGCATGTGACAGTAGGTTGCTGCACCATCCAGGATGAGTTTTAAAAAGCCTTCATTGAGTTTTTCAGGTGATTTTTCTGCAGACAGTTTTGAAAAGGTCCCAGGCTTTGTAAGCTCTGGCTGGAGCAGCACCCAGACTCCAAAAACACTCAAGACCTACACTGCCATTAAGAGCAATATTTATGGGTTTGTCTGTAAATTGTTGGAATTTATCTCAAAATTGTTTGTTTGTCTGAAAATTGTTGGAATCATGCAAAAACAGCACCAGAGATTTTTGCTGGGTGAATATGTCTTTCACAAGGCATTTTGGCCTATTTCAGCCTTCCTTTAGTACTTCCTCCCTGCTTAGCAAAAGCTGAGGGCAGATCTTAGCAGGTAAAATATCAGAAGGGGTGGTATACAGATGATGGACATGGGTTTTTCTCAATGGCACCCAGTGACAGGCAACTGGCACAAACTGGAACACAGGAGGCTCCATCTGAGCATCAGGGAATCCCTTTTCACTCTAGGGGTGACCAAGCACAGGTTGCTCACAGAGGCTGTGGAGTCTCCATCCCTGGAGTCTCTCATCCCTGGAGATATCAAAAAGGGTCTAGGCATGATCCTGAGCTCTGCTTGAGCAGAGGGTTTGGAGCAGATGTACCTTAAAACCTCAGCCATGCTGTGATTCCGTGATGGGAAAGAGGAAGAGAAACTGCTCCTGAGATAGGCTTTGACACTGGTTTCAAGAAGGTCCTACTTGCACTGTGAGAAACTCAACTCCAAAAGGTTTCTAAAAAAAGGTTGTGTCTCCCCTCAGTCCTGGTACAACCAGACTCCTAAGACATGGATCCTGAGCTGTGCAAAGAGGGGAGAGGAAAAATACTACCAGTAGGAAATTTGCTTATTATTGTGTGCTAAACTATGCCTTATAAGACAAAAAAAGTTAGCTAAGAACCAAGTTATCAGGAAATGACACTGTATAATCAGTTCCATCAGTTCTATAACAAGTTCCAGATTTGCAAGTGCACTTTCCAATTGTCAGCTTGATGTTTTTAGTAACTTTCATTCTCTGACAAACACCAACCACTAGTTTGTGCATCATCCAATGGTCTGGTTTTGAGAAGCTGTCAGAGCCAGTACCGAGAATTGCAGGTTTATGTCTCTCTCTCTTTTCTTTCTTTCTTTCTTTCTTTCTTTCTTTCTTTTTCTTTCTTTCTTTCTTTCTTTCTTTCTTTCTTTCTTTCTTTCTTTCTTTCTTTCTTTCTTTCTTTCTTTCTTTCTTTCTTTCTTTCTTTCTTTCTTTCTTTCTTTCTTTCTTTCTTTCTTTCTTTCTTTCTTTTCCTTCCTTCCTTCCTTCCTTCCTTCCTTCCTTCCTTCCTTCCTTCCTTCCTTCCTTCCTTCCTTCCTTCCTTCCTTCCTTCCTTCCTTCTTTTTTTTAATTTTCATGTTGATGGCAATATTTACTTCTGTGTCTGATTCGCACCAGGTTACTTTTTGCTGTGCGTAGCAGTTTTGGCGACTTTCACAGAACTAACCTGGAGATAAAATCAAAAGTAGAGTTAAAATTGGCCTCATTTTCCCTTCAGTAGAGCTGTGCACTTAAACCATGACTCATCATGACTTGCAGTCACACCCAGGCCCATGATGAGCTGACTGGCCAGTCTTGAGAACAGAAGGCAATCCAGATAGACACAGCAGAGGGGTGAAGGTAGGCTCCCTCCTCTTACTGGATCACCACAGTGACAAACAAGCCAGCAATCACCCTGGTTTCTCAGCTGAGGTTCCAGCTTGGTAATGAGTCCTAGAAACTGAATAGCCTCTCTTGTGGGGCATTTCAATGTGAAGCTCTAGACAGAAGTAGGTACTGAATAAATTTTTTCCTCAGTTATGAGAAATGGGGAAATGCACAACCTCAGAAAAATAAATCACCTTTTCTGAAAGCTGTAACAGGAGAGTGACTGTGTCAAATGTCAAACTAATTTCCTGGCAAGTCATTGAATGATCAATGCATGAATAGCAGGCTACAACATGCTTATGCTGTGAAATTAAAACTTAGCCAAGTGTTTGAATGCATGGTACCCTTTCCTATTTTTGGTATGCTTTCCAGCCTTAGCCAGGTCCTCAAATACAGCATTCACTTTTGCAATCATTCTGTGTAGCAAAAGCAAGGTGAGTGATCATAAAGAAGAATTGATTTAAGCAAAAGAGTAGCTTCATAAGGTACTTTTAAAATTATGTTATATCATGCTGCAAAAGATATGTTACTTTATGCCACTATCAGACACCTTCAAAAGCAAATGCAATTTCATTGTTCTCTATTCTGGTCCTCATATATCCACAGTAGCCTTCAGACAGCCTAAGTGTAAGTCCTTCAGAAGCTTTCTACCAATAAATATTAAAATTAATCTTTCTTCAGGCATTAGACTCAAAAGGAAAATATGCTTTATTTCTATATTTTCTTTCAGAGTACTTGAACTGTTTCAGTCCACTGCCTGAAAACCCAATCTTTTGAGTCATTTAACCAGTGTTTTTGTTGTTCATCTGTCTGTCTTGGTTGTGTCTGACCTCTGGGATGATTGCAATAGAAAAAACATTCAGTTTTTCTTTCTTTCCTTTCTTCACTATGACTCAACATCCTTCTCCTCTCAGGGGTATGACTACAGTTCACAGGGAATAGATCCAAAGTTTCAACATTTCAAGTGTCTCACCCACAGATACTTTTGTCATTTAAGAAATCTCAGGGTACCTATTTTTGCAAATATACTGAACATTCCCTGGATTATAATCCGGGATGGGGAGGGTTAGCATTTTTCTAGAGAAGCAACAAACCAGTACTCCAGATAGCCCTGATAATGAAGTGCTAAGGAGTGAAAGCAATAACCAGATATGTATGGGAATATTGCACTACCAGCAATTAGTTTTCCTAAACTAAGCATATGCAGAAGGGTTATCCCAAATTGCTACTTCATACTTCAGGAGACTCTCAATAGACTGTATTATAAATTAAAGAGATGGGTTCTTCCCACCTGTGAAAAATGCGTATTTTATGACTGGCTTTTAGCAACTATTAAAATGAATATTATATGTGTTGTGTTAGAAAGTTATGTTGTATTAATTTTCTTAAGCAGTGTATTAAATATAGTTTTAGGTTATAACAAAATGTTAAAATAGAAACTATGCTATGTAAGATACTTTTTTTCTAAAGAAAGGACTCGCACCAGATAGCAGCCACAGCACACCTAAATCTTTCAGAGAAAGAGAATTTATTGCCCCATTTTCAGAAGAAATTAACTTCTTCCCGCCTCGCTCAGGATTGAAGACTCATCAGGATTAAGAGGAAGAAGTTGACACTGACCAGACAGAATCCTGTGTTTGAATAGAATTTATGCATCATGTATGAGGTGTATGAATATGCAACAGGCTGTTGTTTTTAAGGGTTAATCCTCTGTTATCGTGGGTCCTTTTCCAGGCTTATTTTGCACAGAAAAAGGTACCCAGACTGTCTGTAACTCTTTGTTTCTATTGTCTCTTACTGTCCTGATCCAAACTGTCCAAATTATTACTCTAATTATATTGCTATTTTTATAACCATTGTATTATCATTAAACTTTTTAAAATTTTAAAAACAAGTGATTGGCGTTTTTCACACCAGCCTAGCAGTTTGTTTTGTGAAGAGATGACTCTTTTCCCCAGCATGACCCCTTCACGTGGGGTCTGTTATGCATTCACTCTGTGGTCCCGGGAATGCACATCCTCAGTCCTCCAAGCATCAGGTGTTTCACCAGTCTCCCTCTACCTTCCCAAACTCCTGGTGTTTCCACCAGTCCATGTGTGGATATGCACCTGGATGGAAACAAGAGCCTGCTGGTGTCAGGCTCCGCAGTTTTCTGCCCCAGAGCCCTCCCAGTGGGATCCCAGGGCTGGAAACACTCATCCTGCCCTGCAGGACATGCTCTGGCTTCCCCACACATTTCCTCACAGGGTTCAAGAGAGCTACTGTGTGAAAATGCCTGGTCTGGAGAGCCTGGCTGCAGTAATTTCACTTCACCTCCTGAACACCTCTGGTCTTCTCCCAGCTCAGTCAGCTCAGGCATTGCTGTGTGACCGAATTACAGCCATTGACAGTGTTTACTCCAGGCTTCCAGGAAGGCAAATCCATTTCTCATTAATAAATCATCTTCCTCTTTTAAGTTAAGTACCCTTATGACGCTTCTTTAGCTGTCCTGCTGCAATTCTCATTCTTTGGTCTTTTCATACAGCTCCCCCAGCCTGTCTAAGCAGAACTCTTATTTTCTGCAGCTAGCCCCTTTGTTTCCCACCTTTTTGCCATTCTTTACACATGGTTTATATCTCTTCTCACAGAATCAAAAATAATTCTAATTCTATTAAAGAAAATAAGTCCCTTTTTTCCCATTGAAATGTTACTGCTTAATTTAAGGATGGTGGTTTTAAAAATGATATCTGTCGAAAAGAAAAAAAAAAGGAAACAAACCAGATTTAACTGAGACAGCAGTTTTCATTTTAAGAAGATTTGATGTGAATCTGGACCATATTCGATGTAGGTTTAAGAGAATTACACTTAAAATTGCATTTTAAAAGATGGTTTACTAGAATAGGATTTACTTCTAGGTAGAAAACTTTTTTTTTCTCATTTTTTGTAAAGAGGGAATGTAAAACTATTTTCCTATGACACCATGCTTTCCCAGGACAAACAAAGGAGTTTTGTAAGCCAGAAACCACAAAAAATAAGCATGTGTGTTCCCAAGGATTAGAACAGTATTACACACATACAGCAGAAGACGGTATGGAAATAAATTCTAAAATAATGTGTTCAAAGGCTTCAAAAACCATTTTAAAATAAGAGTCAGTTTTTCAGCTCATACATATTGACACAGCCCTAAGGTTTTTAGATACATACCACAGTAGCCTCTTGATAGCTCAATTTACAGTTAGAAAATGTTATCTAACTGTAGATTAGAAAACAGCTTTTGTGTTTGCAAGTTCACAGGAGGGAGTGGTTTGGCTTTCATTTACTGGAATGTAAAACGGACAAATCTTCTTTATAAGATGCCTACAGAAGTCATATTTGATGTGGCCATGTCCACAACACGGTCATCAGCCTCTGCCCTGTGAACCTACAAGATTCACAAATACAAGATGGGCCTTCAACATGAATTGTTCCTAATGACTCCCCAGCACATTTGCTGTGAAGGATTCTGATGAAAGCATCCTGCAGAACTCCATGTCCATGGGTTTAATTCAGGAGTTCTGTCTCTAGCCTAACCCAGTTATACACATTCCCACCACAAAAGCATGGGACAGGCATCTCCAAAAGGAGTTTCATCACCCCTGTGTCAGACACCAGCCACAGAAAGGGAACAATTTCCCCATGGAGATTCCTATCTAGGACCCTAGATGAGCTGCTTGGACTACACAGCTAAATTTTAGATGGCTATATGTAGGTGAGATGAATCTCACCTTTAGGCTTGGTGTAAGAGCCTGAATGAGGGATGCAGGACTCCAGGCAGCTCTCCAAAATGCAGTTTATTGTATCCAAGATGTTACAGCAGTCCAGGGTCGTGGGTGACAGAGCCTGTGCCTACAGCTGTCAGCTCCAGCTGCAGGCAGGCCTGGACACCCTTTGGTTTTGCTTACAATGCATTAGATACTTTTCTTTGATGAGCATCTTAATACAGTAGAACCAATCTATACCTTAACTTTTATCTATAGCCTATCATAACTACTGTAATTACCATATTCATGTTACTATTCTCCAGTCACTAAAAGTTAGTATATTACAGTTTAAGCTAGAAGTTGTTCTTCAGTTTTCTTGCAGTGGAAAATTCTGAGACCTTTTTTCTACTTGCAACATTGGCAGACTTGTTTGCCTGTGGAATCTTTCTGCTTGGTAAAAATATCTTTCTGTTTGAGGTGGGTTTATCTTTTGCTATAAGCCATAAAACCCCCTTCTAAATAACATACCCTTTGCCTCCTTGATTATCCAGTAAGACTGGCTCAGCAGTTCTTTTCTTCTATATCAAAACTTGCTTTCATTTCTATTCTTTCTTCAGTTTCTACATTCAAAAATCTTTCTGCTATGCATACATATCTGTTTGACTTTCTTGTCAAACTTTCATCCTTCCCAACACTTGGGATATGTCACAATTTACCTCTGGAGTATTTATTAGTCAAGTTTCTATGGCAGGAAACCAGCTTCAGCATAGAAAGGATGAAGAGAGAGGACAAGGGCAGAAGAGAACACACCCAGTATTAAAGATGGCCTGAGTATTTCACAGTATAACCTGTGCCCTGCAGTACACACAACTGACCTGCAGATTAGAGCACTTTCATCTCTCTGGATCAGTGTCAATCCACAGGGCAGCCAGAGCTCAATAAATTGAGTTACAAACTGGTGGGAGCTGAGGCTGGAGCATTCAGAGTGCCAGAAAACAACACAAAGCCACAGCCAGGCTTCATAAGAAATTAACAACATTTGACAGAATGGGACCTCAAGTCCCATTAATGCCACCAATGCAGCAGAAAAATAAATCAAATTCAAAAAAAGGGAAATTTTCCCTTGCTTTGTTCTGGTGATATTGTTATTATTTGTTATCATGCACGCTAACATTGTGAGCATTTGTCACCTGAGTTTTTATATTGTTTTAAATGCTTAAAGCATTTGTCATTCATCTGCAGGAGGATGTATGTCCTTGATTTTGAGCTTAGATTCCCAGATCTCCTTTTTATTGGTTTTACTTCTTCATTTTAGGAAAAAAAAAATGGACTAGTTTTTTGGGGTTTGTTTTTGGTTTTTTTTTTGGGGGGGGGGGTTTGTTTTTTGGGTTTTTTTTTTTTGTTTGTTTTTTGGGTTTTGTTTTGTTATGTTTTGTTTATTTCCTCTTCTAGTTGTGTCTCATTTCAATGCAGGAAACTTATGCAGTTCTTCAGTCTGTGAGTGAGAACTAAGCTATTACACTGTAACTTCACTCCTATTGTGTGGGAAGTAAGAATTGCATCATCCCTAGGATCCAGAACAGGAGACGAAGATCCCTTCTTGGTGGGTGTGGTCCATGATTTTGTAGTCAATCTTTCAACCAAAGTAAGAGCTCCTTTTGGTTTTATTCGTTTCTTCCCTCTTCTGTTTCCCTCTGTTCCCCACAAAAATCTTTGTGGAAGACCAAAAAAACCCGAGAAACCCCAACTTTCAGTCTAGTAGTAGGTATTTTAAATTTTATGCTTAAACACTGTAAAAATCTCATACTTCTGCAACTCAGTTTTTACCATCGAAACAGTTTTCTTTATTCCCCTCTTCACGTGTGAGTACCAGGGGATTAGGAATTCCCAACAGACCTGAGAGCATGACAACAAGTCATAGAAAACATAAAAAGCAGGCAGAGAAACTTTGATTCAGAGTACCTTAGGTATTGTTAGTACCCAAATCTCAAGACAAATGCTGCTTTTTGGATATCATTACCTAATAGCTGCTCTTAAATTTAAATTCCAACAAATTGCTTAGGTTATTTTGTAATGCAGCTCTTTGTACTGGTGAATACGTTGACCAACTAATAAATACAAGTCATTAAATTCTGCCTTCTTAACAAG